ACAGAGGCGGAGAGTTCTCTTCTCGCCTTCTGCGAGACTACTGTCGGCACGAGGGATCCGCCAGACCTTCACGCTTCCGGACTCACCACAGCAAAATGGGATTGCTGAGCGCCGCATTGGCATGGTCATGGATGTCGCTCGTACGTCCATGATGCATGCGGCTGCCCCCCATTTTCTGTGGCCGTTTGCGGTGAGGTACGCGGCGCATCAGCTCAACCTTCACCCCCGGGTCTCTCGGCCTGCGATGTCCCCAGCCTTGCTGTGGACGGGGAAGGTTGGCGATGCGTCTGTGTTCCGTGTCTGGGGATCTCGGGCGTTTGTCCGCGACTTGTCTGCGGACAAGCTGTCCCCTCGTGCTGCTCCCTGTGTCTTCCTTGGCTTCCCCACTGACGCCCCAGGGTGGCAGTTTTACCACCCCTCCTCTCGTCGTGTTCTGTCCTCCCAGGACGTCACGTTCGACGAGTCAGTCCCCTTCTACCGTCTCTTCCACTACCGCACTCCTTCCCTCCCCCCTCCTCCGGACTTCCTTGTGCCGGTTCCCCCCCCGGTAGACCCCCTCCCCCCTCAGGTTCCTGCCCCCTCAGGTGTGTCCCAGGTAGACGCCGTTGACCCGGTCGAGGTTACTGGTGACTCTGGTGCTGCTGCGGGTGCTGAGCCTGGGGGTGCTGACTCTGGGGGTGCTGTGCGCGGGGGTGCTGAGCCTGGGGGTGCTACTGCTGGGGGTGCTGGGCCTGAGGATGCTACTGCGGAGGGTGCGGAGCCTGGGGGTGCTGAGCCGGGGGGTGCTGTGCCTGGAGGTGCTGGGTCTGGGGGTGCTGGGTCGGGAGCTGCTGAGCCTGGGGGTGCTGCGTCTGGAGCTGCTGAGCCTGGGGTTTCTACTGCTGCTGCGTCTCGCCGGGACCCCCTCTCTCCACAGGAGCTGCGCGAGTGGTTCGCTCGCCGCTGGAGGCGTGCTGCTGAGTCTGGAGGTGCTGTTGGAGCTGGAGCTGCTGAGGGCGTTGGTGCTGAGCCTATTGCTGTTGGTCCTGCCGCTGGAGGTGTGGGTGGCGCTGGTGCTGTCGCTGAGGGTGCTGGTGCTTTCCTTGCTGAGTCTGGAGCTGCCGCGCGGCCTCGGCCGTACTTCGTTCCGCTCCTACAGCAGGTTCTTGGTCTTTCTCCTCCGGTAGAGGGTCCACCGCCTGTCCAGTCGCAGTCCCTGCTGGAGCCTTCCTCTCCACTGCCTGCTCCCTCTCCTTACACTGGTCCTACTGGAGGTCTTGCTGAGCGTCGTGAGCCTGCGTCTCGTCCCGCGTCGCCTGTTCGTGCTGCTCGCGCTAGTGGTCGCAGTTCGCGTCAGCGTCCTCCTCCTGTCCCTGGCACGCACCGGATGTCTTTGCGTCCGTCCACTGCTCCTCTGCGTGCCCCTTTGCCTTCTCCTCCTGAGTCCTCTCTTCCTGCGCTTGCCGACCCTGAGTCGGACTCTCTTCGTGCTGCCAGTCCTACTGTCACGCGTCTGCTTGCTACTGTCGTCACTGACCCCTCTTTTGAGTCCACTGCTGCGTCTGCTCTAGTCGCTGAGCTCGTCGACTTTGCTGCTCGCTGTCGTCTCGACTACGCTGCTAGTCTTGTTGCTGAGTCTGCGTCTGTCTGTCCTCCGTCCGTCGGGGGTGAGTGTGCTCTTGGCACGGACGTCCTAGAGGACAAGCAGGAGGAGTTACAGTGTCTAGCGGCTGCTTCACCTCATCTCGCGTCTGTACTGCTTGCTCCTGAGGGAGACCCGGATGCACTAGACATTCCGACTCCGCGTTCTTACGCGGAGGCCGTAGAGGGTCCCTACTCCTCTCAGTGGCAGGCAGCTATGGATGCAGAGATGGCTTCCTGGAAGTCCACAGGCACCTACGTTGACGCGGTTCCCCCTCCTGGGGCGAACATCGTCAGTGGCATGTGGATCTTCAGGGTGAAGCGGCCGCCGGGCTCTCCACCTGTCTTCAAGGCACGGTACGTTGCTCGTAGCTTCAGTCAGCGGCAGGGAGTTGACTACTTTCAGACCTTCTCTCCCACCCCGAAGATGACTACTCTTCGGGTGCTGCTGCACATAGCCGCTCAGCGCGACTACGAGCTTCACTCTCTCGACTTCAGCACTGCGTTCTTGCAGGGTAGCCTGCACGAGGAGATCTGGCTTCGCCGTCCACCTGGCTTCACTGGGACTTTCCCTCCTGGCACCCAGTGGAGCCTCCGACGGCCAGTCTACGGTCTCCGCCAGGCACCGCGTGAGTGGCACGACACACTGAGGACTACGCTTGCGGCTCTTGGGTTTGCTCCTTCTACTGCTGACCCGTCGCTGTTTCTTCGCACCGACACTTCCCTGCCGCCGTTCTACATCCTCGTGTACGTTGACGACTTGGTCTTTGCCACAGCGGACACTGCTGGACTCGCCTACGTGAAGTCTGAGCTGCTGAAGAGACACACGTGCACAGACCTGGGTGAACTGCGCAGCTACCTTGGCTTACAGATCACTCGGGACAAAGCTCGCCGCACCATTACCTTGACTCAGTCACACATGGTGCAGCAGGTCCTTCAGCGCTTCGGCTTCACGTACTCCTCGCCTCAGGCCACTCCTCTGCCTACTCGCCACTCACTCTCAGCTCTGCCTTCGGATGAGTCCGTAGAGTCGAGTGGTCCATATGCAGAGCTTGTTGGCTGCCTCATGTACCTGATGACCTGCACACGACCTGACCTTGCATACCCTCTGAGCATTCTTGCACGCTATGTTGCTCCTGGGAGACACAGACCAGAGCACATGGCTGCAGCGAAGAGGGTATTGCGCTACCTGTGCAGTACGTCGGGCATGGGGCTAGTGCTTGGAGGGCGGAGTCCAGTGGTCCTTACCGGCCACGCGGACGCTTCTTGGGCTGACGACCAGGCTACGCAGCGGTCGTCACAGGGTTACACCTTCAGCCTTGGTTCCGGCTCTGTCTCGTGGCGGTCTACTCGCTCGTCTTCGGTTCTCGGCTCCAGTTGTGAGGCCGAGATCTACGCCGGGGCCATGGCTGCACAGGAGCTTCGCTGGCTTACCTACCTGCTGACTGACCTTGGAGAGCCTCCTCGTTCTCCTCCAGTGCTGTACGTAGACAACAAGGCCATGCTGGCCTTGTGTCGAGAGCAGCGCTTGGAGCACAGAACGAAGCACATTGCTCTCCGCTACTTCCTTGCTCGTGAGCTGCAGCAGCGTGGTCAGTTGCGACTTGCGTACGTGGCCTCTGAGGCCAACACTGCTGATGTGTTCACCAAGGCACTCGCGCCTTGTGACCATCAGCGCTTTTGCACCCAGCTGGGTCTTGTGCCTGTCTTGCCTCACTTGCTCTCCCCTTGACTTCACTTGTACTGTGACATATATATATATACCTGCTCTTGCTTGTCTAGTTTTGTATATATGTCTGTACTCCTGCATGTGAACTGGCCTCTGGCCTTACTCTTGTGCTCGGACTGTGTGGTGACTTTGTGATCCACCCTGAGCTTGCTTTGCTTTGCTTGACTGGTCTTGTGACCCCTTGTTCTCCCCCACTTTGCCTATGGGGGTGTGTCAGATTTATATGACATAGTTGCTGTAGGCTATAGTGGGGTAGCACATATGGGGTACAGGGTTTCCAGGGTTGTATTTGTACCCAATCTTTCCTTAGTCATTTCATTCCCGTTTTCTTATCTTTCACAAGTCCTTCCTCTAGTGGCCCGGTTGGTTGCAGTTGAAGCACGTGTTAGGTCCACGTCTCGGTGCATCCACCCCGTTGATTGTGGGCTGGCGCGGCGGTCCACGAAATTGAGTGCCCTCCCGGGAACTCATTCTCGCCCATTGCATCAGCGCATCCGTTGATTCAACCACCTGGACGGCATCGAGAAAACCGCGTGGCCTCGCCCGTCGCACCTCGTACTGTACTTCGTACTTGAGGCCTGCGACATATCGGTCGAGTCGTTCCGCGTCGCTCATATCGTCCACTTGGTCAGCCAAATTGCAGAATGTTGCCGTGTAATCTTGGACCGACGCCACCTGCTTCCAGGTATGCAGCTTCATGCGAGCAGAATCCGAGGCGGATACATGCTCGAATCTTTTACATTCCATGCCTAGAATGGCGGCATTTTCCCCCGCCAAAATTTCTTGCGCCCAATTCAGCGGCCAATCCAATGACATGACGATGATTGTAACGACAGCCTCACCCGCCGTCCTCCACGCCTCTCCCAGCGAGAAGCAGTAGCATTATCTCTGCCACCTTGGTTTCTAGTAAAATCGCGTTGTTTGAATACGGTCAGTACTGTACCGAATTTAGGATGCCAAGCAACCCCGCGGCAGAAGGTTCCGACCTATTTTGTTCGCTACCCGGATCGCGTCGCTGGGTCGCGATAAGAGCCGGCACAGCCTTTAGGGCTTCTTACGGAGAAAAAGCAGATGAAATCGTTCTTTCTTGTTACATTTGTTCAGCATTGATGACGACAATCGTAGTGGGAAGGGCCTACAGCTAGGGTGGAGGCCTCAACGGTAATCCCAAGGTGTGCCTGTGATGGGCACTGGGGCGTGGGGGATCATGAGGGGAGGGTAGGGAATATTGACCGAGGGGGGAGGGCGGGGGGGAGGGAAGGGGGGTGTGTGTGTGAGAAGAGGGTCCGGTATAAAGCAGTGTGCATTCACTCAGGGCTCTTTGGGACATGTAGGGTGTATGTATGTGGTGCGTGAGTGGAGTCAATCTGGCCTAGCTGTAGCAACACTGCTATGAGCGAGAATTCCAGTGTCCCTCACACTCTCATTTGTCTCCCCTTCCCCTCTCTTATCGCCTCCCATCCCTCCAAGACTTCCTAAGGGAACTCCACGTCCCACAGCCCGTGCAGCAATGAGCAAGCCTACACAGGAAGGCCACCCTAAACCTTAAACCCTTCCCGCGTTCCCAGATCCTGGGCTCTGGTACGGGGCTGGCAGCGTGTGCAGTGGCCAGGGAGGGACGTGGGCGCGTGTCATCTCCCTCTCAGCCTGCATGCACTCCCTCCGACACCCATCCCCCCCTCGCTCGCCTCTCCTGCTGCTCCCTTTCGCCCTGCAGGTGCTGAACGCGGGAACAGGGCTGGCAGCGTGTGGGGTGGCAAAGGATGTGGGCGAGGGCATAGCCATGGTGCAGGAGGCTCAGCGCACCGGCAAGGCGCTCCTCGTGCTTGATCGATGGGCCGCCCTCTCTCAGGTGATAATTTCCTGAATCATGTCTCAAGTTAGTTTCCTCCGATCCAATGCCTAGAAGAAGCATGCACAAGCTAGTGCTCTGAAGGCATTTGCGTTCAGGCTGCTCAACTTTCGCTGAACATTTGCAGGTGACTGCTTAGGCAAACTCTTCTGTGGGTGCACGTAGGCCACCCTTGCATCCCTCTCCCGTAATCGTGTTGCTGCTTTCCTCTCTCCCTCTTCATGTCTGCATCGTGTTGCTGCTTTCCTCTCTCCCTCTTCATGTCTGCATCGTGTTGCTGCTTTCCTCTCTCCCTCTTCATGTCTGCATCGTGTTGCTGCTTTCCTCTCTCCCTCTTCATGTCTGCATCGTGTTGCTGCTTTCCTCTCTCCCTCTTCATGTCTGCATCGTGTTGCTGCTTTCCTCTCTTCCTCTTCATGTCTGCATCGTGTTGCTGCTTTCCTCTCTCCCTCTTCATGTCTGCATCGTGTTGCTGCTTTCCTCTCTCCCTCTTCATGTCTGCATCGTGTTGCTGCTTTCCTCTCTCCCTCTTCATGTCTGCATCGTGTTGCTGCTTTCCTCTCTCTCCCTCTTCATGTCTGCATTGTGTTGCTGCTTTCCTCTCTCCCTCTTCATGTCTGCATCTTGTTGCTGCTTTCCTCTCTCACTCTTCATGTCTGCATCGTGTTGCTGCTTTCCTCTCTCCCTCTTCATGTCTGCATCGTGTTGCTGCTTTCCTCTCTCCCTCTTCATGTCTGCATCGTGTTGCTGCTTTCCTCTCTCCCTCTTCATGTCTGCATCGTGTTGCTGCTTTCCTCTCTCCCTCTTCATGTCTGCATCGTTTTGCCCCTCTCTTCCTCCTTTTCCGGGTTGCTTAACACTTCTCTCTTTCAAAAAGGCTGAGCAACTAGTAGCTGTCCGAGGTCTTGGTGCCTATATATATGCACTTGTGCAACGAATGGGTTATGTTCACTACAGTTAACCTAGTCTGAAGTCTTCTGGTATTACGATCTCAAGGAATCAGTTGATCAAATCCAGGCTGCCATTTTGACACAAACCCCACCCATCACTTCGGCTGTTGCTGTAGCTGCTTCCTTGAAGAGCGAGCAAGACGCCTGCTGTTGGTGTTCTAATGGAAGGGAAGGAAAGTAGGAAGAGGAAAGGGAGGGGCAGAGGTAGTCCAGGAAAGAGCAGGTGGAGAGGGTGCAGCGAGCAGTGTGCATGACACATCCGGGTGCCATGAACAGCTCTGGTAAAGCTGATTCAAATAGCTGAAGGCTGCAGCTGAGAAGGTTGCAGCAGTATATCCTCCCTTGGACCTTGTTCTGGCACACATTGTTACTTTGAGCTTTTGTTTTTCTTGCCTGTAAATGCATTCACTTGTTTGTTTCTCTGGTGGGCTGCGTGTACTGCAAAGATAATTAGCATGGTCGTACTAGTATGGCATCCCATCACATAGCATCTAATATTTCATCAACTCATGCCCATCCGCAGCTTGCGTCAAGACCTGCAGGGCTTTTATTCGCTGCCTTATTAGCGAGCACTCTCGTGCTTCCGCACCACCTCGATAAAGCGCATCCCGCTACTAGCAACGTTAACGTTTTTTCACGCCTCGGGTACAGTCCATCTCGTTAGAAGTTGGTGCCGCTCTCGTAGGTCTTACCGCTGCTCCACTTGCTCGGAATCACGTCTTGCAGCAGCACCTGCTGCCCGCCGCCCGTCGCCGTCACGCGCACGCTCAGCTTGCGCCCCTTGTCCACGACGTCCTTGGCGGGATTCAGCACCCACGTGGCGCCCCATCCGTTGTTCGTCATGCTCTTCCACTGCTTCCCGTCGTTTGATATTTCCACCTTCTCCACGCCTCCGCTCTTCGCCGCGCCGAGAATCTGAACGACGAAATTGTAGACGTTGCTGTTGTTTTCGATTCTGACGGCCATGGTGCGGCTGCTAGGGCAGTCCACGCTGCGGTAATCGATCTCCACGTTACCCACGTTACGGTCCTTGACAATTTTCTCCCACGCGGGAAAATTGAGGTTGAAAATGCCGCTCACGCCGACCGCTCGAACCATCACGCTGCCCTTCGTGCAGCTCGGGCTGTTCTTGCAGGTAACTTGGTAACACGTTCCGCAGCCCTTGCCGCTGTTGAAATTGCTCGCAGGCACCTGCGCGACCATGCCCTTGTCGAAATAGGGACTGTCGGCGTAGCTGAATTGGCCCCAGTAGCACGTGCCCTCGCGATTCAGATCGCCACGTGTGGCCTGGATGGCATCGGCGGGAGAGAGGGCGAGAGCAAGCAGGGCTATTCCCACGCACAGCAGGTCGCCGACCCTGGAAAAGAGCGCCATCGGAGAAAAGAAGCGGAGGAAAAAGAGTCTCGCCGAAATTGTGAGATCTTTCTTCTGTAGCTAGAAACGGGCTTGAATACGGAGTCTTGAATATCAAACACTGTCGTCGATTCGATGATGATAGGGAGAAGAAGCGGGAATTATATACTTGAGTGGGTAGGCGAGAATCGGGAATAGGTAGTCAGGTTCCAAACAGGAAGCGACTTCAAGTCGCCCTCGAGAAGATCATCTCCCTCGAAGCGCACTGGAAATTGTTGTGGTCCTGTGGAATGGCAATAATTGTGCTCCTTTCGCGAAAAGAGTGCTTGGCGACGCGACGAACTGGTTGTAACTCTCTTCGTGAGTCGAAGAGTGGCAAGGCGATTGGCTCAATGATAATTGTTAGTACGAGCGGCATCGTTCCGTTCCATCAATCTGATTTCGCAGGTGTGACTAAAGAGACTCACGATTATTGCAGCCTTGGAACGTCGCACTATCGTGGATTTGTTCGTCATTCGCGGCATGGCTGATGATGGAAGGAAAAGCAAAGCGCGAAACGCAAACATTGTTTTCCCATGCGAACTTCAAAATCCTTTGTCTCTGTACCGAGTCTCCGTAACAAGTGCTATGGAGTATGTAGTCAAACCAAGTCGTGAAGACCCCACTCTCACCATCAAGCTCGTCAACTGCACTCCGATATCGTCAAGTCGCAATGACCCCACTCTCACTGTCAGCTCATCCCCCTATCTGTCACTCTCTCGACCACATTTCACTCGTGGAAACATTGACCGATTCGAATAACCCTGCCACGCTGTCACTCACAAATAAGGAAGAGAGATCGCGACGTTGTTGGCCTGGTAACTGACTTCCCATTTTCGTGAGCCTCCAGTGTCCAGAGCGCGAAACTGCAACTACCGTTTCGCCATCTCTTCGTTCAGTCCCTCCAGCTACTCGTTTCTTTTTCATCTCCAGGCCCTCATCAATTTTTCAAGGTTCCATTGTTCATGTCTCTCCCTTATAACTTCACAGGCTTCCAGCCATTTTGATAACCAGCGCTCTGCACGATAGGCACTACTCATTTGATAGTCACTTCTCTCTAGCCGCGAAAGTTATTATAAACGGTTTTTTTCTGTGGGTCGAGTTTTAGCTGGCGGCAGCACTTGCGTACAATTCAGTGTCATCATCTTAACGCACGAAATTTACCAGGCAGGTCCTTTAGTTATTTTACCTAGCGCGACTCATTCACACCATTCAGTAACGATTTTGTTTTCGTCTGGTGAGAATATTTCACTGTCTTTCTGGGTTGTTTTCGAAGAGCAGTCTTTGTTTCCTCTCCCGTCGGAGCTCTGGAATCACACTAGTTGCACCACGATCCTCTGCAGATTTCCGCTTCTGCGAAGTACTTCTGCTGCAGTGCAGAGCTCCACCCTGTCCTCTGCAAATTTCCGCTTCGGGGAATTTCGCGTCCCTGCAGAACACGACGACCCTCTGCAGGGTCAGTGCAATCTCAACACTCCCTCCCTCCCTCCCTCCCTCCCTCCCTCCCTCCCTCCCTCCCTCCCTCCCTCCCTCCCTCCCTCCCTCCCTCCCTCCCTCCCTCCCTCCCTCCCACCCTCCCTCCCTCCATCCCTCCCTCCTTCCCTCCCTCCCTCCCTCCCTCGCTCCCTCCCTCCCTCCCTCCCTCGCTCCCTCCCTCCCTCCCTCCCTCCCTCCCTCCCTCCCTCCCTCCCTCCCTCCCTCCCTCCCTCCGTCCCTCCCTCCCTCCCTCCCTCCCTCCCTCCCTCCCTCCCTCTACCCCTCCCTCCCTCCCTCCCTCCCTCCCTCCCTCCCTCCCTCCCTCCCTCCCTCCCACCCTCCCTCTACCCCTCCCTCTACCACTCCCTCTACCCCTCCCTCTACCCCTCCCTCCCTCCCTCCCTCCCTCCCTCCCCCCCTCTCTCCCTCCCTCTCTCCCTCCCTCTCTCCCTCCCTCTCTCCCTCCCTCCCTCCCTCCCTCTCTCCCTCCCTCTCTCCCTCCCTCTCTCCCTCCCTCTCTCCCTCCCTCTCTCCCTCCCTCTCTCCCTCCCTCTCTCCCTCCCTCTCTCCCTCCCTCCCTCCCTCCCTCCCTCTCTTCCTCTCTCCCTCCCTCCCTCTCTCCCTCCCTCCCTCTCTCCCTCCCTCCCTCGGTCGCTATCAGGTTCTCACTCTTCTATCTGTTTTCTCTCCCTGCGAAGCTCAAATCGCTATCAGACCCTTGACGCCATTCCACACACCTCAACCGACGGTGCCATCCGCCCTGCGCCAGAGGGGTTCCATGCAGCAGAACCGCTGCTCGAAACAGAAGATTCTACGATGGAAAGTAGTGGTGTGGGGGGCCTTGCGGCCGGGATTTCTTTTATAGTCATAATGGTGGTCTATGTTTTAGGCGCTCGAAACATATGGACTGCGTTATTGGGTAGTGTAGATACTGTGTGCAAGGTTACAGGGAGTGTTCTTGGGCTCAAGCCCATAAGTCTTACAGGAGACCCCCGCGAGTCTACATGGCCATCCAAGGAGAATCCTTTGCCCCGTGTCACAGCACCACCGGCCAAGCTGCCGCCTGTAAAGACCACATCTGTAATCAAGGCAGAGAAACCCACAAAGCTGACAAGAACAGCAAATGAGAAGAAGACAGCACCATCAGCACCAGCAAGAGCAGTGGCAGCGGCAACAGCAGCAGTAGCAGCACCACCACCAGCGACTGCACTGGCAGCAGCAGCGAGTGGTGGAGTGGTCCCAGGGCAGGTGGTTGTTGACATACCCTCTGTATCAACAATTGCAGCAAAAGCGGCAGCAGCAGCAGCGGCGAATTCAGGGGTGGCTCAAGCACAGTTCGAGAGGGGAGTGATTGAATCATCGCCCCTAACACAACAGTCAGCAGCACAGGCAGCAGTGGGGGCAGCAGAAGAAGAAGCAGCAGCCGCTGCTGCAGCTGCTGCAGTGGCAGTGGCAGCAGCGCCACCACAGCCACGAGAGCCAGCAGTGCAGCCACTGCTGTGTGCTGCAGCCGGTGCTGGGCCAGACGTGTGTCAGCGATTCTCTCTTAAAGAAATGGCGCGGGCCACGGGAGGGTGGGCAGAGAGCAACCGCATTGGCAGCGGCAGCTTTGGCGATGTGTACAGGGGGGTGAATCCGCGGAACCCCAAGGAGGTGTGGGCTGTGAAGCGAGCCCGCGTGCTCACCAACGACTTCCGACGCGAGGTGAGATATAGAAGGTGGTGTTGAGACTCCCTGTCATGTTCTGTAATCGCTTGGTAGTTTCAAAAGTATCCACACCGTGTTACTGGGTGTGAGTGGTGTGTTGTTAGCGCTTGTTGTTGTTGTGGTGTGAATGCTGTCAGTAGGGTGTCTTCTGTGGGAGTGGTGATTGTTGGAAAATGTTGTCCGTAGGGTGTCTTTCCTTCAGTCCAACCAGTTTCCCAATGCTGTTCCCCAACCTCCTTTCTTCCTTTCAGCCAACTTCCTCCCAACCTGCTTTACCCCAGCTCACTTCCTTTCAGCCAACTTCCTCCCAACCTGCTTCCCCCCAGCTCACTTCCTTTCAGCCAACTTCCTCCCAACCTGCTTCCCCCCAGCTCACTTCCTTTCAGCCAACTTCCTCCCAACCTGCTTCACCCCAGCTCACTTCCTTTCAGCCAACTTCCTCCTAACCTGCTTCTCCCCAGCTCACTTCCTTTCAGCCAACTTCCTCCCAACCTGCTTCCCCCAAGCTCGTTTCCTTTCAGCCAACTTCCTCCTAACCTGCTTCACCCCAGCTCACTTCCTTTCAGCCAACTTCCTCCCAACCTGCTTCACCCCAGCTCACTTCCTTTCAGCCAACTTCCTCCTAACCTGCTTCCCCCCAGCTCACTTCCTTTCAGCCAACTTCCTCCCAACCTGCTTCCCCCCAGCTCACTTCCTTTCAGCCAACTTCCTCCCAACCTGCTTCCCACCAGCTCACTTCCTTTCAGCAAACTTCCTCCTAACCTGTTCCCCCCAGCTCACTTCCTTTCATCCAACTTCCTCCCAACCTGCTTCCCACCAGCTCACTTCCTTTCAGCAAACTTCCTCCTAACCTGCTTCCCCCCAGCTCACTTCCTTTCAGCCAACTTCCTCCCAACCTGCTTCCCCCCAGCTCACTTCCTTTCAGCCAACTTCCTCCTAACCTGCTTCCCCCCAGCTCACTTCCTTTCAGCCAACTTCCTCCCAACCTGCTTCCCACCAGCTCACTTCCTTTCAGCAAACTTCCTCCTAACCTGTTCCCCCCAGCTCACTTCCTTTCATCCAACTTCCTCCCAACCTGCTTCCCACCAGCTCACTTCCTTTCAGCAAACTTCCTCCTAACCTGCTTCCCCCCAGCTCACTTCCTTTCAGCCAACTTCCTCCCAACCTGCTTCCCCCCAGCTCACTTCCTTTCATCCAACTTCCTCCCAACCTGCTTCCCACCAGCTCACTTCCTTTCAGAAAACTTCCTCCTAACCTGCTTCCCCCAAGCTCACTTCCTTTCAGCCAACTTCCTCCCAACCTGCTTCCCCCCAGCTCACTTCCTTTCAGCCAACTTCCTCCCAACCTGCTTCACCCCAGCTCACTTCCTTTCAGCCAACTTCCTCCAAACCTGCTTCCCCCCAGCTCACTTCCTTTCAGCCAAATTCCTCCCAACCTGCTTCCCACCAGCTCACTTCCTTTCATCCAACTTCCTCCTAACCTGCTTCCCCCAATCTCACTTCCTTTCAGCCAACTTCCTCCCAACCTGTTTCCGCCCAGCTCACTTCCTTTCAGCCAACTTCCTCCCAACCTGCTTCCCCCCAGCTCACTTCCTTTCAGCCAACTTCCTCCTAACCTGCTTCCCCCCAGCTCACTTCCTTTCAGCCAACTTCCTCCCAACCTGCTTCCCCCCAGCTCACTTCCTTTCAGCCAACTTCCTCCTAACCTGCTTCCCCCAATCTCACTTCCTTTCAGCCAACTTCCTCCCAACCTGTTTCCTCCCAGCTCACTTCCTTTCAGCCAACTTCCTCCCAACCTGCTTTCCCCCAGCTCACTTCCTTTCAGCCAACTTCCTCCTAACCTGCTTCCCCCCAGCTCACTTCCTTTCAGCCAACTTCCTCCCAACCTGCTTCCCCCCAGCTCACTTCCTTTCAGCCAACTTCCTCCCAACCTGCTTCCCACCAGCTCACTTCCTTTCAGCAAACTTCCTCCTAACCTGCTTCCCCCCAGCTCACTTCCTTTCAGCCAACTTCCTCCCAACCTGCTTCCCCCAAGCTCACTTCCTTTCAGCCAACTTCCGCCCAACCTGCTTCCCACCAGCTCACTTCCTTTCAGCAAACTTCCTCCTAACCTGCTTCCCCCCAGCTCACTTCCTTTCAGCCAACTTCCTCCCAACCTGCTTCCCCCCAGCTCACTTCCTTTCAGCCAACTTCCTCCTAACCTGCTTCACCCCAGCTCACTTCCTTTCAGCCAACTTCCTCCTAACCTGCTTCTCCCCAGCTCACTTCCTTTCAGCCAACTTCCTCCCAACCTGCTTCCCCCAAGCTCGTTTCCTTTCAGCCAACTTCCTCCTAACCTGCTTCACCCCAGCTCACTTCCTTTCAGCCAACTTCCTCCTAACCTGCTTCCCCCCAGCTCACTTCCTTTCAGCCAACTTCCTCCCAACCTGCTTCCCACCAGCTCACTTCCTTTCATCCAACGTCCTCCTAACCTGCTTCCCCCCAGCTCACTTCCTTTCAGCCAACTTCCTTCCAACCTGCTTCCCCCCAGCTCACTTCCTTTCAGCCAACTTCCTCCCAACCTGCTTCCCTCCAGCTCACTTCCTTTCAGCAAACTTCCTCCTAACCTGCTTCCCCCCAGCTCACTTCCTTTCATCCAACTTCCTCCCAACCTGCTTCCCACCAGCTCACTTCCTTTCAGCAAACTTCCTCCTAACCTGCTTCCCCCCAGCTCACTTCCTTTCAGCCAACTTCCTCCCAACCTGCTTCCCCCCAGCTCACTTCCTTTCAGCCAACTTCCTCCTAACCTGCTTCCCCCCAGCTCACTTCCTTTCAGCCAAATTCCTCCCAACCTGCTTCACCCCAGCTCACTTCCTCTCAGCAAACTTCCTCCTAACCTGCTTCCCCCAAGCTCACTTCCTTTCAGCCAACTTCCTCCCAACCTGCTTCCCCCCAGCTCACTTCCTTTCAGCCAACTTCCTCCCAACCTGCTTCACCCCAGCTCACTTCCTTTCAGCCAACTTCCTCCAAACCTGCTTCCCCCCAGCTCACTTCCTTTCAGCCAAATTCCTCCCAACCTGCTTCCCACCAGCTCACTTCCTTTCATCCAACTTCCTCCTAACCTGCTTCCCCCAATCTCACTTCCTTTCAGCCAACTTCCTCCCAACCTGTTTCCTCCCAGCTCACTTCCTTTCAGCCAACTTCCTCCCAACCTGCTTCCCCCCAGCTCACTTCCTTTCAGCCAACTTCCTCCCAACCTGCTTCCCCCCAGCTCACTTCCTTTCAGCCAACTTCCTCCCAACCTGCTTCCCCCAAGCTCACTTCCTTTCAGCCAACTTCCTCCAAACCTACTTCCCCCCAGCTCACTTCCTTTCAGCCAAATTCCTCCTAACCTGCTTCCCCCCAGCTCACTTCCTTTCAGCCAACTTCCTCCTAACCTGCTTCCCCCCAGCTCACTTCCTTTCAGCCAACTTCCTCCTAACCTGCTTCCCCCCAGCTCACTTCCTTTCAGCCAACTTCCTCCCAACCTGCTTCCCACCAGCTCACTTCCTTTCATCCAACTTCCTCCTAACCTGCTTCACCCCAGCTCACTTCCTTTCAGCCAACTTCCTCCTAACCTGCTTCCCCCCAGCTCACTTCCTTTCAGCCAAATTCCTCCCAACCTGCTTCCCCCCAGCTCACTTCCTTTCAGCCAACTTCCTCCCAACCTGCTTCCCCACAGCTCACTTCCTTTCAGCCAAATTCCTCCCAACCTGCTTCCCCCCAGCTCACTTCCTTTCAGCCAACTTCCTCCCAACCTGCTTCCCACCAGCTCACTTCCTTTCAGCCAACTTCCTCCCAACCTGCTTCCCCCCAGCTCACTTCCTTTCAGCCAACTTCCTCCTAACCTGCTTCCCCCCAGCTCACTTCCTTTCAGCCAACTTCCTCCTAACCTGCTTCCCCCCAGCTCACTTCCTTTCAGCCAACTTCCTCCTAACCTGCTTCCCCCCAGCTCACTTCCTTTCAGCCAACTTCCTCCCAACCTGCTTCCCCACAGCTCACTTCCTTTCAGCCAAATTCCTCCCAACCTGCTTCCCCCCAGCTCACTTCCTTTCAGCCAACTTCCTCCCAACCTGCTTCCCACCAGCTCACTTCCTTTCAGCCAACTTCCTCCCAACCTGCTTCCCCCCAGCTCACTTCCTTTCAGCCAAATTCCTCCCAACCTGCTTCCCACCAGCTCACCTCCTTTCATCCAACTTCCTCCTAACCTGCTTCCCCCAATCTCACTTCCTTTCAGCCAACTTCCTCCCAACCTGCTTCCTCCCAGCTCACTTCCTTTCAGCCAACTTCCTCCCAACCTGCTTCCCCCCAGCTTACTTCCTTTCAGCCAACTTCCTCCCAACCTGCTTCCCCCCAGCTCACTTCCTTTCAGCCAACTTCCTCCCAACCTGCTTCCCCCAAGCTCACTTCCTTTCAGCCAACTTCCTCCAAACCTACTTCCCCCCAGCTCACTTCCTTTCAGCCAACTTCCTCCTAACCTGCTTCCCCCCAGCTCACTTCCTTTCAGCCAACTTCCTCCCAACCTGACTCCCCCCGGCTCACTTCCTTTCAGCCAACTTCTTCCTAACCTGCTTCCCCCCAGCTCACTTCCTTTCAGTCAACTTCCTCCCAACCTGCTTCCCCCCAGCTCACTTCCTTTCAGCCAACTTCCTCCAAACCCTCTTCCCCCCAGCTCACTTCCTTTCATCCAACTTCCTCCTAACCTGCTTCCCCCAATCTCACTTCCTTTCAGCCAACTTCCTCCCAACCTGTTTCCTCCCAGCTCACTTCCTTTCAGCCAACTTCCTCCCAACCTGCTTCCCCCCAGCTCACTTCCTTTCAGCCAACTTCCTCCTAACCTGCTTCCCCCCAGCTCACTTCCTTTCAGCCAACTTCCTCCCAACCTGCTTCCCCCCAGCTCACTTCCTTTCAGCCAACTTCCTCCCAACCTGCTTCACCCCAGCTCACTTCCTTTCAGCCAACTTCCTCCAAACCTGCTTCCCCCCAGCTCACTTCCTTTCAGCCAAATTCCTCCCAACCTGCTTCCCACCAGCTCACTTCCTTTCATCCAACTTCCTCCTAACCTGCTTCCCCCAATCTCACTTCCTTTCAGCCAACTTCCTCCCAACCTGTTTCCTCCCAGCTCACTTCCTTTCAGCCAACTTCCTCCCAACCTGCTTCCCCCCAGCTCACTTCCTTTCAGCCAACTTCCTCCCAACCTGCTTCCCCCCAGCTCACTTCCTTTCAGCCAAATTCCTCCCAACCTGCTTCCCACCAGCTCACTTCCTTTCATCCAACTTCCTCCTAACCTGCTTCCCCCAATCTCACTTCCTTACAGCCAACTTCCTCCCAACCTGCTTCCTCCCAGCTCACTTCCTTTCAGCCAACTTCCTCCCAACCTGCTTCCCCCCAGCTCACTTCCTTTCAGCCAACTTCCTCCCAACCTGCTTCACCCCAGCTCACTTCCTCTCAGCAAACTTCCTCCTAACCTGCTTCCCCCAAGCTCACTTCCTTTCAGCCAACTTCCTCCCAACCTGCTTCCCCCCAGCTCACTTCCTTTCAGCCAACTTCCTCCCAACCTGCTTCCCCACAGCTCACTTCCTTTCAGCCAAATTCCTCCCAACCTGCTTCCCCCCAGCTCACTTCCTTTCAGCCAACTTCCTCCCAACCTGCTTCCCACCAGCTCACTTCCTTTCAGCCAACTTCCTCCCAACCTGTTTCCTCCCAGCTCACTTCCTTTCAGCCAACTTCCTCCCAACCTGCTTCCCCCCAGCTCACTTCCTTTCAGCCAACTTCCTCCCAACCTGCTTCCCCCCAGCTCACTTCCTTTCAGCCAACTTCCTCCCAACCTGCTTCCCCCAAGCTCACTTCCTTTCAGCCAACTTCCTCCAAACCTACTTCCCCCCAGCTCACTTCCTTTCAGCCAAATTCCTCCTAACCTGCTTCCCCCCAGCTCACTTCCTTTCAGCCAACTTCCTCCTAACCTGCTTCCCCCCAGCTCACTTCCTTTCAGCCAACTTCCTCCTAACCTGCTTCCCCCCAGCTCACTTCCTTTCAGCCAACTTCCTCCCAACCTGCTTCCCACCAGCTCACTTCCTTTCATCCAACTTCCTCCTAACCTGCTTCACCCCAGCTCACTTCCTTTCAGCCAACTTCCTCCTAACCTGCTTCCCCCCAGCTCACTTCCTTTCAGCCAAATTCCTCCCAACCTGCTTCCCCCCAGCTCACTTCCTTTCAGCCAACTTCCTCCCAACCTGCTTCCCCACAGCTCACTTCCTTTCAGCCAAATTCCTCCCAACCTGCTTCCCCCCAGCTCACTTCCTTTCAGCCAACTTCCTCCCAACCTGCTTCCCACCAGCTCACTTCCTTTCAGCCAACTTCCTCCCAACCTGCTTCCCCCCAGCTCACTTCCTTTCAGCCAACTTCCTCCTAACCTGCTTCCCCCCAGCTCACTTCCTTTCAGCCAACTTCCTCCTAACCTGCTTCCCCCCAGCTCACTTCCTTTCAGCCAACTTCCTCCTAACCTGCTTCCCCCCAGCTCACTTCCTTTCAGCCAACTTCCTCCCAACCTGCTTCCCCACAGCTCACTTCCTTTCAGCCAAATTCCTCCCAACCTGCTTCCCCCCAGCTCACTTCCTTTCAGCCAACTTCCTCCCAACCTGCTTCCCACCAGCTCACTTCCTTTCAGCCAACTTCCTCCCAACCTGCTTCCCCCCAGCTCACTTCCTTTCAGCCAAATTCCTCCCAACCTGCTTCCCACCAGCTCACCTCCTTTCATCCAACTTCCTCCTAACCTGCTTCCCCCAATCTCACTTCCTTTCAGCCAACTTCCTCCCAACCTGCTTCCTCCCAGCTCACTTCCTTTCAGCCAACTTCCTCCCAACCTGCTTCCCCCCAGCTTACTTCCTTTCAGCCAACTTCCTCCCAACCTGCTTCCCCCCAGCTCACTTCCTTTCAGCCAACTTCCTCCCAACCTGCTTCCCCCAAGCTCACTTCCTTTCAGCCAACTTCCTCCAAACCTACTTCCCCCCAGCTCACTTCCTTTCAGCCAACTTCCTCCTAACCTGCTTCCCCCCAGCTCACTTCCTTTCAGCCAACTTCCTCCCAACCTGACTCCCCCCGGCTCACTTCCTTTCAGCCAACTTCTTCCTAACCTGCTTCCCCCCAGCTCACTTCCTTTCAGTCAACTTCCTCCCAACCTGCTTCCCCCCAGCTCACTTCCTTTCAGCCAACTTCCTCCAAACCCTCTTCCCCCCAGCTCACTTCCTTTCATCCAACTTCCTCCTAACCTGCTTCCCCCAATCTCACTTTCTTTCAGCCAACTTCCTCCCAACCTGTTTCCTCCCAGCTCACTTCCTTTCAGCCAACTTCCTCCCAACCTGCTTCCCCCCAGCTCACTTCCTTTCAGCCAACTTCCTCCTAACCTGCTTCCCCCCAGCTCACTTCCTTTCAGCCAACTTCCTCCCAACCTGCTTCCCCCCAGCTCACTTCCTTTCAGCCAACTTCCTCCCAACCTGCTTCACCCCAGCTCACTTCCTTTCAGCCAACTTCCTCCAAACCTGCTTCCCCCCAGCTCACTTCCTTTCAGCCAAATTCCTCCCAACCTGCTTCCCACCAGCTCACTTCCTTTCATCCAACTTCCTCCTAACCTGCTTCCCCCAATCTCACTTCCTTTCAGCCAACTTCCTCCCAACCTGTTTCCTCCCAGCTCACTTCCTTTCAGCCAACTTCCTCCCAACCTGCTTCCCCCCAGCTCACTTCCTTTCAGCCAACTTCCTCCCAACCTGCTTCCCCCCAGCTCACTTCCTTTCAGCCAAATTCCTCCCAACCTGCTTCCCACCAGCTCACTTCCTTTCATCCAACTTCCTCCTAACCTGCTTCCCCCAATCTCACTTCCTTACAGCCAACTTCCTCCCAACCTGCTTCCTCCCAGCTCACTTCCTTTCAGCCAACTTCCTCCCAACCTGCTTCCCCCCAGCTCACTTCCTTTCAGCCAACTTCCTCCCAACCTGCTTCACCCCAGCTCACTTCCTCTCAGCAAACTTCCTCCTAACCTGCTTCCCCCAAGCTCACTTCCTTTCAGCCAACTTCCTCCCAACCTGCTTCCCCCCAGCTCACTTCCTTTCAGCCAACTTCCTCCCAACCTGCTTCACCCCAGCTCACTTCCTTTCAGCCAACTTCCTCCAAACCTGCTTCCCCCCAGCTCACTTCCTTTCAGCCAAATTCCTCCCAACCTGCTTCCCACCAGCTCACTTCCTTTCATCCAACTTCCTCCTAACCTGCTTCCCCCAATCTCACTTCCTTTCAGCCAACTTCCTCCCAACCTGTTTCCTCCCAGCTCACTTCCTTTCAGCCAACTTCCTCCCAACCTGCTTCCCCCCAGCTCACTTCCTTTCAGCCAACTTCCTCCCAACCTGCTTCCCCCCAGCTCACTTCCTTTCAGCCAACTTCCTCCCAACCTGCTTCCCCCAAGCTCACTTCCTTTCAGCCAACTTCCTCCAAACCTACTTCCCCCCAGCTCACTTTCTTTCAGCCAACTTCCTCCTAACCTGCTTCCCCCCAGCTCACTTCCTTTCAGCCAACTTCCTCCTAACCTGCTTCCCCCCAGCTCACTTCCTTTCAGCCAACTTCCTCCTAACCTGCTCCCCCCCAGCTCACTTCCTTTCAGCCAACTTCCTCCCAACCTGCTTCCCACCAGCTCACTTCCTTTCATCCAACTTCCTCCTAACCTGCTTCACCCCAGCTCACTTCCTTTCAGCCAACTTCCTCCTAACCTGCATCCCCCCAGCTCACTTCCTTTCAGCCAACTTCCTCCCAACCTGCTTCCCCCCAGCTCACTTCCTTTCAGCCAACTTCCTCCTAACCTGCTTCCCCCCAGCTCACTTCCTTTCAGCCAACTTCCTCCTAACCTGCTTCCCCCCAGCTCACTTCCTTTCAGCCAACTTCCTCCCAACCTGCTTCACCCCAGCTCACTTCCTCTCAGCAAACTTCCTCCTAACCTGCTTCCCCCAAGCTCACTTCCTTTCAACCAACTTCCTCCCAACCTGCTTCCCCCCAGCTCACTTCCTTTCAGCCAACTTCCTCCCAACCTGCTTCACCCCAGCTCACTTCCTTTCAGCCAACTTCCTCCAAACCTGCTTCCCCCCAGCTCACTTCCTTTCAGCCAAATTCCTCCCAACCTGCTTCCCACCAGCTCACTTCCTTTCATCTAACTTCCTCCTAACCTGCTTCCCCCAATCTCACTTCCTTTCAGCCAATTTCCTCCCAACCTGTTTCCTCCCAGCTCACTTCCTTTCAGCCAACTTCCTCCCAACCTGCTTCCCCCCAGCTCACTTCCTTTCAGCCAACTTCCTCCCAACCTGCTTCCCCCAAGCTCACTTCCTTTCAGCCAACTTCCTCCAAACCTACTTCCCCCCAGCTCACTTCCTTTCAGCCAACTTCCTCCTAACCTGCTTCCCCCCAGCTCACTTCCTTTCAGCCAACTTCCTCCTAACCTGCTTCCCCCCTGCTCACTTCCTTTCAGCCAACTTCCTCCTAACCTGCTCCCCCCCAGCTCACTTCCTTTCAGCCAACTTCCTCCCAACCTGCTTCCCACCAGCTCACTTCCTTTCATCCAACTTCCTCCTAACCTGCTTCACCCCAGCTCACTTCCTTTCAGCCAACTTCCTCCTAACCTGCATCCCCCCAGCTCACTTCCTTTCAGCCAACTTCCTCCCAACCTGCTTCCCCCCAGCTCACTTCCTTTCGGCCAACTTCCTCCTAACCTGCTTCCCCCCAGCTCACTTCCTTTCAGCCAACTTCCTCCTAACCTGCTTCCCCCCAGCTCACTTCCTTTCAGCCAACTTCCTCCTAACCTGCTTCCCCTCAGCTCACTTCCTTTCAGCCAACTTCCTCCCAACCTGCTTCCCCACAGCTCACTTCCTTTCAGCCAAATTCCTCCCAACCTGCTTCCCCCCAGCTCACTTCCTTTCAGCCAACTTCCTCCCAACCTGCTTCCCACCAGCTCACTTCCTTTCAGCCAACTTCCTCCAAACCTGCTTCCCCCCAGCTCACTTCCTTTCAGCCAAATTCCTCCCAACCTGCTTCCCACCAGCTCACTTCCTTTCATCCAACTTCCTCCTAACCTGCTTCCCCCAATCTCACTTCCTTTCAGCCAACTTCCTCCCAACCTGTTTCCTCCCAGCTCACTTCCTTTCAGCCAACTTCCTCCCAACCTGCTTCCCCCCAGCTCACTTCCTTTCAGCCAACTTCCTCCCAACCTGCTTCCCCCCAGCTCACTTCCTTTCAGCCAACTTCCTCCCAACCTGCTTCCCCCAAGCTCACTTCCTTTCAGCCAACTTCCTCCAAACCTACTTCCCCCCAGCTCACTTCCTTTCAGCCAACTTCCTCCTAACCTGCTTCCCCCCAGCTCACTTCCTTTCAGCCAACTTCCTCCTAACCTGCTTCCCCCCAGCTCACTTCCTTTCAGCCAACTTCCTCCCAACCTGCTCCCCCCCAGCTCACTTCCTTTCAGCCAACTTCCTCCCAACCTGCTTCCCACCAGCTCACTTCCTTTCATCCAACTTCCTCCTAACCTGCTTCACCCCAGCTCACTTCCTTTCAGCCAACTTCCTCCTAACCTGCATCCCCCCAGCTCACTTCCTTTCAGCCAACTTCCTCCCAACCTGCTTCCCCCCAGCTCACTTCCTTTCAGCCAACTTCCTCCTAACCTGCTTCCCCCCAGCTCACTTCCTTTCAGCCAACTTCCTCCTAACCTGCTTCCCCCCAGCTCACTTCCTTTCAGCCAACTTCCTCCTAACCTGCTTCCCCCCAGCTCACTTCCTTTCAGCCAACTTCCTCCCAACCTGCTTCCCCACAGCTCACTTCCTTTCAGCCAAATTCCTCCCAACCTGCTTCCCCCCAGCTCACTTCCTTTCAGCCAACTTCCTCCCAACCTGCTTCCCACCAGCTCACTTCCTTTCAGCCAACTTCCTCCCAACCTGCTTCCCCCCAGCTCACTTCCTTTCAGCCAAATTCCTCCCAACCTGCTTCCCACCAGCTCACTTCCTTTCATCCAACTTCCTCCTAACCTGCTTCCCCCAATCTCACTTCCTTACAGCCAACTTCCTCCCAACCTGCTTCCTCCCAGCTCACTTCCTTTCAGCCAACTTCCTCCCAACCTGCTTCCCCCCAGCTCACTTCCTTTCAGCCAACTTCCTCCCAACCTGCTTCCCCCCAGCTCACTTCCTTTCAGCCAACTTCCTCCCAACCTGCTTCCCCCAAGCTCACTTCCTTTCAGCCAACTTCCTCCAAACCTACTTCCCCCCAGCTCACTTCCTTTCAGCCAACTTCCTCCTAACCTGCTTCCCCCCAGCTCACTTCCTTTCAGCCAACTTCCTCCCAACCTGACTCCCCCCAGCTCACTTCCTTTCAGCCAACTTCTTCCTAACCTGCTTCCCCCCTAGCTCACTTCCTTTCAGTCAACTTCCTCCCAACCTGCTTCCCCCCAGCTCACTTCCTTTCAGCCAACTTCCTCCAAACCTTCTTCCCCCCAGCTCACTTCCTTTCAGCCAACTTCCTCCAAACCTTCTTCCCCCCAGCTCACTTCCTTTCAGCCAACTTCCTCCTAACCTGCTTCCCCCCAGCTCACTTCCTTTCAGCCAACTTCCTCCCAACCTGTTTCCACCTGCCCTACTTCCTCCGTTCCTCCCCCCACTGCCCGGCAGATCAACGAGATGGCGACCAAGAGCCACCCAAACCTGGTGAGGCTGCTGGGGTACTGCTTTGATATGAGCTACGAGGCGGAGCGCATGGAGCAGATCGTGGTCTATGAGTTCATGGCCAACGGCGACCTCGGCCGCTGGATCGGAGCCGGTGAGCTGAGCCGATACGGTCTGATTTGAAACAAATCGAGAAGCCACAGAGAACAGTGGGTGGATTGGAAAATCCACTGGTGAAGTAGGCAGACCGTGGTGTATGAGAACAGTGACCTCGGGCCAGACGAGCCAGCATTGTTTGTTTGTGTTGCGGACTTACTCTCAACAACCTCTCCTCTTCCAGCTTTACACGCTCGTGCAATTTATTGCTTCTATGCAATCCATGCTATGAACCTCAAGGGCTCCAATGCATGGCAACAGAAGACTCTCAATCTATCCATACACACACTTACCTCCCCAACTCCCAACTGCCATGCCTTCCCCTCCCAGGCGCACCTCATCCTCTCACGATGCAGCAACGACTCGCCATTCTCACGGGCATGGCGCGCGGGCTGGAGTATCTGCACGGCTTCAGCATCGTGCATCGCGACATCAAGCCCGCCAACGTGCTGCTGGACGCGCGCATGCACGCCAAGCTCGCTGACTTTGGGCTGGTGCGACTTGGGGAAGGTACATCTGTGGCCGCCACGCGCGTCATGGGCACGCCGGGCTATGTGGACCCCGCTTACTACCACTCCCACAAGGCCACTCCCAAGGCCGACGTGCACAGGTGTGGGTGATATGGTACTTAGAATTCCAGAAACTACTCCGTCTTAGAATTCCATAAAATACTCCGTCTTAGGATTCCAGAATATAATCCGTCTTAGAATTCCAGAAAATTCTCCGTCTTAGGATTCCAGAAAATACTCCGTCTTAGGATTCCAGAAAATACTCTGTCATGGACACACCAGGCTGCGTGGATCCTGCTTATTACCACTCTCACAAAGTTACTCCCAAGGATGACTGCCTTGTTTTCTTACCCTGCTGCCTACCTTGCTCCCCTTCCCTGCTGACTGCCTTGTTCCCTTACCCTGCTGACTGCCTTGTTCCCTTACCCTGCTGACTGCCTTGTTCCCTTACCCTGCTGCCTGCCTTGTTCCCTTACCCTGCTGACTGCCTTGATCCCTTACCCTGCTGACTGCCTTGTTCCCTTACCCTGCTGACTGCCTTGTTCCCTTACCCTGCTGCCTTATGTTTTTCTTCTCTGCGGCTGTCATCGCTGCCATAATTCCCACCTGTCTGCAGCTTCGGTGTGGTGATGCTCGCGGTGATCACGGCTCGCAAGGCCATCTACAACATCGATTCAAACCAAGTCAACCTCAAGCAGTGGGTCAGTCTCACACCAGCATCCAATGACCTGAGAAAATCAAACTCTTCTGTCTTTCCCTACCATGATCTGCTTTCATATCCGATCCTCCTTGCCACGAATCTTCACTCTCCCTTCCTCTCCTCTGCCTCTTCCCTCCCCTGCTCCCTTACTTCCCCCAATTGATCCACTCACAGGCAGCAGCCCTGGTGGCAGCAGGGGACGTGGCAGCCCTCAAGGACCCGCACCTGCAAGCACCGGACGACCTGGTGCTGCGCATGGCATGCCTGGCGCTCACCTGTACCGCCATGCCCACGGCGTCTCGCCCGGGCATGAGCCGTGTGCTGGCAGAGCTGCTGCTGCTCAAGGAGGAGTTCTTCGGGGAGGAGGAGGACCGCATGGCTATTAGGATCGACCACGAGATTGAGAGCTCCGAGCAGGTCGACTTCACCTTGGAGCTGGCTCGTCTTCAGGGGATTCAACATGGTAGTTAGGGAAGCCAGGGGAACTGTTGTTCAAATAATTCATGCCGACGAGTTTGAAGCTGTGCAAAACGTGCAATGTTCATGGTGTTTGTTATAAAAACAACAATTTAACCCCTTATTCCAGTTACTAGCTGCAGCCATCATTTGGTTAAGAAAATACGTGTTTTAGGTTATCTATACACGTCCATTTGTTCGAGTGAGAACAATGTTTATTATTTCAGTCAATTCAGGTCGCTGCACTCTCACCGTCAAGCTCGACAACTGCATTCTGACATCGTCGTCAGCATGCCAACTCATCAATATCCAGTTGAATCTCTGCCAATCCGCCATCGGTCGCCTCCCGCAGGCATTGCCTCACCGACCAGCCCTACCACCACCTAGGCACAAATATTCGCGAGCCCGTTTGCATGGTAACTTACTTCCTCGTGTCGTGAGCCTGCAATTTCCGTCTGCGAAACTGTTGTCACGTTTTCGCCATTTCATTTCAGAACAATGTGGCCGTGGGCCTCCTTGTCTCCATATTTCATGCTTCATTCTTGCATTCCCCTCTGTAGTAGTTCTCTGGCCTTTTAGACCAGATGGCTGACGAGCGCTCTACACGTTAGTTACCATTCATCAAGTGGCCAATTCCCTAGTCGAAAATTAGTTCTGGAGCCTCATTATGTGCTTCGAGTTTCCGCTTCAGACATTCCGGCAGCTCATTTTTAGTGAGTTCGATTTTGCGGCGAGTGACCCATTTTCACCACTCAATGGACCGTTTTTTTAGGTTTGCACTGCGAACAAAGACTAGTCGCTATTCCGCATAGAAATCACTCCTTCCCGGGGTTAATTACATTTCCTTCTCCAAATCCCTGTATCCCTCCTTTCCCCCGTGCGTATTGCCTCCAAAAATCAATTATTCAATCAACAGCCATGCCCTATCCCCCCTCTACTAGTTCGTCTCGGCACGCATTCAGCAGACAGCACCCTTAACGCATTTTTAGGCACCCCAAGCATTTCATCCCAAGCGGCACCCAGCGAGAGGAGCTTCTCGCGCAGCGGCTTTATCCTCCATTCCCCCGCAGGGGTGGTGAGGAAGGCGCTTCCATTCTCCCAGAGGCAGTGGTGTCAAGGCAGGGGCTCTCAGTTCCCACAGCAGACCCGTTGCTCGCAACAGAGTGTATAGCAATGGATGGAAGTATTGTCGTGGCCATTGTGTGGGGGTTTTTGATTGGTGTCGCACTGCTGTCGCTTATGCTGGCCTGTTTTCTCAAATATAAAAAGCACATATGGGCTGGCTTATTGAGCTTCTTCGAACTTGGAAGCAAGGGTGGGCACATGATTACCAGGCCGATGCCTGTAGGTTCTGCAGAGAAAGTCTCCAAGTTTACACCACGATCCAAAGAGTGTAATTTGCCACGTGGTCAAGCTGCCGCCAAAGCAAATCACATCAGTACCCACTGCAGAGGTACCTAAGGGGTTGACCCGGGCATCTAATGGAAATTCAGCGGCAGCAGCAGCAGCAGCAACAAAACCAGCACCACCAGCGGCAGCAGCAGGTGGATTGGTCCCAGGGCAGGTGGTTGTTGACATGCCCTCTGCATCAACAATGGGAGCAAAAGAAGAAGCAAAAGCAGCAGTAGCCACAGCAGCAATAGCAACTTCAGAGGTGGCTTGAGCAGGAGTCGAGAGGGAATCAAGCAAATCATCTTATGAAGCTCTACAGTCAGCAGCACCAGCAGCAGTGAGGGCAGCGGAGGAAGCAGCTGCGGCAGCAGCAGCTGCTGCTGCAGCAATGGGAGTGGCAGATCCAGAGTCAGCAGTGCAGCCACTACTGCGTGCTGCAGCCGGTGCTGGGCCTGACGTGTGCCAGCGATTCTCCTTTGAGGAGATGGCTCGGGCCACGGGAGGGTGGGCAAAGAGCAACCGCATAGGCAGCGGCAGCTTTGGCGACGTGTACAGGGGGGTGAATCCGCGGAATGCCAAGGAGGTGTGGGCTGTGAAGCGAGCTCGCGTTCTCACCAACGACTTCTGACGCAAGGTGAGTCTCCCTGCCCTGTGCCGCATATGCTTTATCAATTCTCAAAAGTGAGCCCGCGTCCCCGTACTAATGACTTCCGGCGAAAGGTGAGACTCCCTGCCGTGTGTTGCATTGGCTTGGTAATCTCAGCAGTATCAAGCTCTGCGATTACCAAGCATATCATACTTGGCATTGGTTTGGTTTATGGGATACGAGCAAGGTGTCGCTGCCAACTTTGTCTGTAGGGAGTTTTCCTTTCCCCCAACCAAATTCCTCCCAACCTGATTTCCCCCAACCTGCTTCCTGCCAACTTGCTTCCCCCCAACCTGCTTTCTGCAAACATGCTTACCCCGAACATGCTTCCTCTCAACCTTCTTTCCCCTAACCTGCTTACCCGGAACATTTCTCCCACACAACGGCCCTTCAGACCAACGAGATGGCGGTGAAGAGCCATCCTAATTTGCTGCGGTAATAGTTTTTGAGAATTATAAGAAACCGGCCTGCTTCCCTCCCCCCCTCTCCCCCACCCGCCCTGCCTATTCCCACCCCACCACCCACCCGGCAGATCAACGAGATGGCGACCAAGAGCCACCCAAACCTGGTGAGGCTGCTGGGGTACTGCTTTGACATGAGCTACGAGGCGGAGCGAATGGAGCAGATCGTGGTCTATGAGTTCATGGCCAACGGCGACCTCGACCGCTGGATCGGAGCCGGTGAGCTGAGCCGATACGGCCTGATTTGAGACAGATTGAGAAGCCACAGAGAACAGTGGGTGGATTGGACAATCCACTGGTGAAGTGGGCAGACTGTGGTGTATGAGAATAGTCACCTCGGGCCAGACGAGCCAGCATTGTTTATTTGTGTTGCAGACTTACTCTCAACAACCTCTCCTCTTCCAGCTTTACACGCTCGTGCAATTTATTGCTTCTATGCAATCCATTCTAGACCCTCAATCCATGCTATGAACCTCAAGGGCTCCAATGCATGGCAACACAAGACTCTCAATCTATCCATACACACACTTACCTCCCCATCTCCCAACTGCCATGCCTTCCCCTCCCAGGCGCACCTCATCCGCTCACAATGCAGCAGCGGCTGAGCATCCTGACAGGCATGGCGCGCGGGCTGGAGTATCTGCACGGCTTCAGCATCGTGCATCGCGACATCAAGCCCGCCAACGTGCTGCTGGACGCGCGCATGCACGCCAAGCTCGCCGACTTTGGGCTGGTGCGACTTGGGGAAGGTACATCTGTGGCCGCCACGCGCGTCATGGGCACGCCGGGCTATGTGGACCCCGCTTACTACCGCTCCCACAAGGCCACTCCCAAGGCCGACGTGCACAGGTGTGGATGATATGGTACTTGCACGTGTTTTAGAATTATAGGAAACACTCCGTCATGGTGCAGGATTATATGGTGTTCATGTGTTCTTTAGAATTCTAGGAAACACTCCGTCATGGGCACACCAGGCTGCGTAGATCCTGCTTATTACCACTCTCACAAGGTTACTCCCAAGGCTAACTGCCTTGTTCCCTGACCCTGCTGCCTGCCTTACTGTCAGAACATATCTATAGCTTATACTATTGTGTAGGCTGTAGTGGGGTATCCCATAGGGGGTACAACCCAGTTACGGTTTCATATTTGTACTATCTTCATTCATAGTACACACATTCCTGTTCTACAATTCTCACATGGTATCAGAGCGGGTTCCCTGTGGGAACTTCGCCTAGGGCCCACCGAAGCGCGCCCCGAGGCGCGCTAACTTTTTTTCCTCTCGCTCGAGCGACCCTCCGTGTCGCCCTTCCCTCGCGGCCCTGCCGCCCCTCCAGACGCGGCCCCGCCGCCATTTCAGACGCGGCCCCGCCGCCCATTTCGATCGCGGCCCCGCCGCCTGCTCAGACGCGGCCCCGCCACCTGCTCAGCCGCGGCCCCGCCGCCCGCTACGACGCGGCCCCGCCGCCTGATCAGACGCGGCCCCTGCCGCCCGCTCAGACGCGGCCCCGCCGCCTGCTCAGACGCGGCCCCGCCGCCCGCTCAGACGCGGCCCCGCCGCCTGCTCAGCCGCGGCCCCGCCACCCGCTACGACGCGGCCCCGCCGCCTGCTCAGACGCGGCCCCGCCGCCTGCTCAGCCGCGGCCCCGCCGCCCGCTACGACGCGGCCCCGCCGCCTGCTCAGCCGCGGCCCCGCCGCCCGCTACGACGCGGCCCCGCCGCCTGCTCAGCCGCGGCCCCGCCGCCCGCTCAGACGCGGCTCCGCCGTCCCCTCTGCCGGCCCCGCTGCTGCACCTGACGGCCCCGCCGTCCCCTCTGACGGCCCCGCCGTCCCCTCTGCTGGCCCCGCCGCTGCACCTGACGGCCCCGCCGTCCCCTCTGACGACCCCGCCGTCCCCTCTGCCGGCCCCGCCGCTGCACCTGACGGCCCCGCTGCTGCACCTGCCAGCCCCGCCGTCCCCGCCGCTGCACCTGCCGGCCCTGCTTCACCGGCCCCGCCGCCCCTGGTCTCGCGGCCCCGCCACCCTACCTGCAGAAGCCGAGCCGCCCACCTGCAGCAGCCGAGGAGCAGTGCAGCCAAGCCGCCCCGCACCCGAGCCGCCCGGCACCCGAGCCGCCCTGCCGCCGAGCCGCCCGGGAGCCGAGCCGCCCTGCACCCGAGCCGCCCGACACCCGAGCCGCCGTGCCACCGAGCCGCCCGGAAGCCGAGCCGCCCAGCAGCCGAGTCGCTGAGTCGCCGAGCCGCCCTTCTGCAGAGCTGCCCGGCCTGCCCTGCCTAGTGAGCACAGTCCCACTGTCTCTGCGTGCTCTTCCCCTACTGCTTGCACTGCTTCGCTGTCGTCGTCATGGCTACCCCTAGTGTCCTAGCTTTTGACGCTGAGGGTCGCGCCATTGACTTTGAGGTCTGGGTCGACGACCTGCAGTTGTTTTTACAGTGCGATAGGGCAGACGGCCTCTCTCTCTTTGACCTCACTTCTGGCGCCTCTCCTGCCCCTGCTGCTGATGCTGATCCCACTATGCGCTCTCAGTGGGCCACCCGCGATGCTGCTGCACGTCTTGCTGTGCGTCGCCACCTCCTTACCTCTGAGCGCGCGCACTTTAGTCAGTACAAGAGTGCTCAGACCTTGTACGACGCTGTAGTTGCGCGCTACTCCTGCCCTGCCATTGCTGCACTGAGCCGTCTCATGCTTCCCTACCTCTTTCCTGACCTCTCTGCCTTTCCCACTGTCGCTGACCTCATTACGCACCTCCGCACTAGTGACACTCGCTACCGCGCCGCCCTTCCTGCTGAGTTCTGCGCTAAGAATCCCCCCCCCATGTACATCACTCTCTACTACGTAGTCGCGCGCCTCCCTGACTCCCTTCGCGTAGTCAGGGACCACTTTCTCGCAGTCTGTCCCATCACCCTCACCATCGACGTCCTCGAGAAGGCCCTCCTCGCGGCGGAGAAGAGCATCGTCGCTGTAGGAGCTTCTCGTGGTAACCCTCGCACCCCCATCTTTGAGGGGTGCTCTCCTTCCCCCCTCCTGCCCTCTGTTGCCTCTGCTGCTGCTGCCGACCTGCTTGGTCTCGAGTCGGTTGGCGCGGCGTCTGCCCCTAGTGGGAGACGCCGCTCTGGCAAAGGCAAGGGGGGCAAGGGCGCTGGTGGAGCTGGAGGAGGCGGTGGAGGTGGAGGTGGAGGCAGCGGAGGGAGTGGGGGTGGCGGCGGGAGAGGTGGAGGGGGTGGTGGTGGTAGTGGTGGCAGCGGCGGAGGAGGCGGCGGTGGTGGCGGCGGCGGTGGTGGTAGCGGCAGTGGTGGCGGTGACGGTGGGGGAGGCGGCGGCGGAGGAGGCGGTGGTGGCGGAGGATGTGGAGCTCGTCGAGGCGGTACCCAGCAGCGGAGCGGCGGTGGTGGTGGTCAGCGCTCGCAGCAGCAGCAGCAGTAGCGTTCGCGTGACGTCCCTCCGCCCCAGCAGCTCCGTGAGTGGTACACTCGGCGTCAGAGGGGTGGGGGTACTGGTCCTTGCACCTACGTCCTTTGTTCCGGCGACCGCGCGGGTGAGCAGTGTGGGGGTGCCCACCCCACCCAGCGCTGCTTTGGCCGCCTGACGGACGCTTGGCGTCAGCAGTTCCCCGGGGCTAGTGAGATCCCTCGCTGGGATGAGTTTCTTAGGGCTGGTGTAGCGATCTTTGATCTTGATTTTGATGCTATCCTTGCTCCTATGTATGCTGTGACTATTAGTGAGGAGGGTGACTGTTACCGGTGTTTCCCGCCCGACCCGGGCATTGGTACTGCTGCGCTAGGTGCTTGTGAGGCTGCTGCTCTAGGTGCCAGTGCGTCTGCGCTCTCAGGTGCTGGTGAGACTGCGCTCTCAGGTACTGCGTCGCCTTCGTCCTCCCTCACTTTCACACTTAACTCAGGAGCTTCTCGCTCCTTCTTTCGAGACCGCACCACCCTCACGCCGCTTGGCCGGCCGGTTGCGGTCTCCCTAGCTGACCCCTCTAGGGGTCCTGTCCTCTCTCACTTCTCTATTGTCCTCCCGTGTCCGGCTGCCCCCTCGGGCACACTGTCTGGTCTGTACCTTCCCTCGTTCTCCACGAACTTGGTGAGTGGTGCGGACCTACAGGATGCGGGGGTTCAGCAGTTCACTCCTGCGAGTCAGCGGGTGACCCACTGCACGGACGCACGCACAGGCCGACACCTGGCCACGTTCTCACGTCGGCCAGGGTCGAGCCTCTACACCCTGACCACTACGTCTCCTCCTGTCCCTGCGTCTGGTCAGGTAGCTGCGTCAAGTCAGGTGCTTGCTGCTGCGTCCCGGTCAGGTCCTGAGTCTGCCCCCTATTCGTGTCGCCTTCTGTCTCACGAGACTCTCCTGTGGCACCACCGTCTTGGCCACCCCTCCCTGTCCCGTCTTCGAGGCATGGCTTCCCGTGTCCTTGTCTCAGGTCTTCTACGGTCTCTCCCTCCCCTTCCTTCGGGACCAGGACCTTCCTGTGTCCCCTGTGTCGAGGGGCGCCTCAGGGCTGCTCCTCACTCCTCCCTGTTTCCCCCGACAGAGGCTCCTCTGCAGACACTTCACATGGACGTGTGGGGCCCGGCCCGCGTCCGTGGGCAGGGTCACGAGCGCTACTTCCTGTTGGTGGTTGACGACTACTCGCGTTACACCACAGTCTTCCCCTTGCGCAGCAAGGGTGATGTCACTGCGGTGCTGATCGACTGGATCCGCGAGGCTCGTATCCCGCTCAGGAGGAGCTTCGGCTCGGACTTTCCTGTTCTGCGTCTGCACTCTGACCGAGGTGGGGAGTTCTCCTCTCGCCTTCTCCGAGACTACTGTCGTGCACGGGGGATCCGCCAGACCTTTACGCTTCCGGACTCTCCACAGCGAAATGGGATTGCTGAGCGCCGCATTGGCATGGTCATGGATGTCGCTCGTACGTCCATGATGCATGCGGCTGCCCCCCATTTTCTGTGGTCGTTTGCGGCTCGGTACGCGGCGCATCAGCTCAACCTTCACCCCAGGGTCTCTCGGCCCGCGATGTCCCCAGTCTTACTGTGGACAGGGAAGGTCGGCGATGCGTCTGCGTTCCGTGTCTGGGGATCTCGGGCGTTTGTCCGTGACTTGTCTGCGGACAAGCTGTCCCCCCGTGCTGCTCCCTGTGTCTTCCTTGGCTTCCCCCCTGACGCTCCAGGGTGGCAGTTCTACCACCCCTCCTCTCGTCGTGTTCTGTCCTCCCAGGACGTCACGTTCGACGAGTTAGTCCCCTTCTACCGCCTCTTCCCCTACCGCACTCCTTCCCTCCCCCCTCCGCCGGACTTCCTTGTGCCGGTTCCCCCCCCGGTAGACCCCCTCCCCCCTCAGGTTCCTGCCCCCTCAGGTGTGTCCCAGGTAGACGCAGTTGACCCGGTCGAGGTTACTGGTGACTCTGGTGCTGCTGCGGGTGCTGACTCTGGGGGTGCTGTGCGCCGGGGTGCCGGGCCTGGAGGTGCTGCTACTTGGGGTGCTGAGCCTGGGGGTGATGGGCCTGGGGGTGCTACTGCGGAGGGTGCTGAGCCTGGGGGTGCTGAGCCGGGGGGTGCTGTGCCTGGAGCTGCTGAGCTAGGGGGTGCTGGGTCTGGGGGTGCTGAGTTGGGAGCTCCTGAGCCTGGGGGTGCTCAGTCCAGAGCTGCTGAGCCTGGGGTTTCTCCGGCTGCTGCGTCTCGACGGGAGCCCCTCTCTCCACAGGAGCTGCGCGAGTGGTTTGCTCGCCGCTAGAGACGTGCTACTGGAGCTGGAGCTTCTTCGACCGTCGAGAGTGCTGGTGCTGCCGGTCCCGGAGCTGCTGGGCCTGCGGGTCCTACTGGAGCTGGAGCTGCTGAGGGTGTTGGTGCTGAGACTACTG